CGTCACAGATGAGATAGTTGCCCTACCACTTATTTTTTCTGCAGGATACAGTTTAAACTAAGTGATGTCACAGGATGGACAAGGGGAACAGTTGCTCCACTACATTATTTTCTCTACAGGATACAGTTTAAACTAAGTGATGTCACAGGATGGATAAGGGGGAACAGTTGCTCCACTACGCTATTTTCTCTGCAGGATACAGTTTACACTAGGTGATGTCACGGGATGGATAAAGGGAACAGTTGCTCCACTATGTTATTTTCTCTGCAGGATACAGTTTAAACTAAGTGATGTCACAGGATGGATAAGGGGAACAGTTGCTACACTACGTTATTTTCTCTGCATGATACAGTTTACACTAGGTGATGTCACAGGATGGATAAAGGGAACAGTTGCTCCACTACGTTTTTTTCTCTGCATGATACAGTTTAAACTAAGTGATGTCACAGGATGGATAGAGGGAACAGTTGCTCCACTTTGTTTTTTCTTTGCAGGATACAGTTTACACGCGACATTCCTAATAATTAAGTTTTTGCCCTCCACCACACACACACACACACACACCCAAATCCCACTCATGAAGTATGTTAAGTTGAATAAAACTACTAAACAGAAGGACTACCATTGTCAATGAATAGATTTCTAGTTACTTACTTGAGATGTAGCTTGTAAAGCTTCCTCCAGTTTCTCTTGTCTATTTCGTGTTAGCTCTCTGAGGCTGTTATAACGAGAATTATCAAAATCCATTATTTCTTGAACTTTACCGCCTTCCTCCTCACCACAAAGTTTCAGTAAGGCTGAACCCGTTTTGTTGAGTTTGTCCACCAAAGGTTTGTGATCATTAATTGTCTGCAATAGCATCTGAAGAGAAAATCGGAATATTGTTGTAAGTTTAAGAGTTCGCTACACACTTTTCATCTGAAATTTTATTCGTAAGTTATCTGATCTTTAGAAATTTACAAAACTGTTTCAATAGTACATTTTACTGGTTGCCACTTGATTTAAACTCTTTGTTTCATCACTAATGTCCGTAATCATCGGTAGAAATTCACTTCATAGTTGAAGTTTTAACATTAATACAGTTAATACCTGTGTTTTATCTTGCTGTCGTGTGATTTGAGCAACGTTCGGTGTTGGTGTCTCTAACATCTCTGCCTCAGCTTCTGCTTCATCTAACCATGGTGCTAAATCTGAATGGGTGTCAAAAAAGTGTTCAGCCAATGGCAGGGCTTGTTCTAAGGCACTCCTACGCTCAAGACACATACTGCTGACACTGTTTGAGAGGTCTCTTAGTTCATCAGACTTTTCTTTGATGAGGTTTAAGTCTTCTGTTGACATCTCTCTCATCAACTTCTTAGCAGTGGCCAGAATGTTCCGAACACGGTTCTTTTGCCCACTCACATCTTCATTCATTACCTTTTGTGAACAAAACAATTATAAAATGATATTATGAACATTTCTTGTGTCTTGACAGGATTAAAGTATAAATGTTAAGCTTTTCAACGGACATCTTCATAGTTTTTTTAGTTTATAAAATATGATTATTGTTTAAATAATCGTTGTTAACATTACACTCCTTTATCTTGTAACAGTTCAAGTTTTTAACTTAGAAGAAAAAAACCCTAAAAAAATAAATAAATAAATTAAAGCTAAACACAGGGTACCCAAAAATTATAGAACCATAAGTGGTTTTCAGCTTTTCTTAATTTCAGATATTTGACTGATTATGTTGCTGTCAAAGCACGAGAAGGTTGAGTTAATCCTGCTATTAATCCAAACTTGTTTTGAATTACAAAGACAGCACGTGGAACACATTCTGTAAAATTTGTTGAAGTGTCTATGGTTCCAAACTTTTCGGACACCCTGTAGATATAGCATTCGGATTTATTCTTTTTGCATATGATAAATAACATTGTGAAATTTTTGTGTGTAACACTAAAACTAACACATATTTAGTAATGAGGTACCCACTGCATTAAAACCTACTTTTAATTGTAAACTATCAAACCATTAACCATTTCTAGGCTTTGTAGCCCTAATCACAGTATAATCTAACAGATAAGTATCGTCAGTGTTTGTAGGTCTGATCACAGTATGATCTAACAGATAAGTA